AAGGACATGGAGCTCTTGGAGCGGGTCAGGGGAGGGCCACTGAGATGATCAGGGGGCTGGAGCACCTCTCCTATGAGGAAAGGTTAAGGGAGCTGGGCTTGCTTAGCTTGGAGAAGAGAAGGCTCCAAGGAGACCTCATTGAGACCTTCCATTACTTGAAGGAAACGTATATAAACAGCAAGGGCTGTTTACAAGGGTGGATAGTGATAGGACAAGGGGGAATGGTCTTAAACTGAGACAGGGGAGGTTTAGGCTAGATACTGGGAAGAAGTTTTTCACTCAGAGGGTGGTGAAGCACTGGAACAGGTTGCCCAAGGAGGTTGTGGATGCCCCATCCCTGGAGGCCAGGCTGGATGTGGCTCTGGGCAGCCTGGTCTGGTGGTTGGTGACCCTGCACATAGCAGGGGATTTGAAACTAGATGATCTCTGAAGACCTTTTCAACCCAGGTCATTCTATGATCCTATGTTTCTACGAGACTACAAAAACATGTGCTACTGTTTAGGGAAAAGAGCTTTCTGGTCCATTACTAAATGTATGCATCTTTCAGGATACAATGCTGGAACAAATATTATTAGTAGTAAAGTCATTGAAGAACCAGTGGCTAAGATGTTCAAATGTATCATTATTTCACCTTTGACAAGTTACTTTGAAATGATTATGTACGTGTCCAGGTCAGCTGTACTGTAATGTGTGTGAGAATAATGGTTGTAAAGCAAAATTACAAAAATGCCAAGTACTGTTTCTGTTAATCAATTTACACCAGCTGTTCTCATTATTGGTCAGAAAGTTGGTAATTGAAGGATCATTAAGAAGTGAGAATGTATCTTGAAATAAGTTCTTCAGCAAACAGTGTATTTTATAGGATTTCTTTATCTGAGCACCAGTTCCAATATTTATCAAGGCTGCAATATGCTGTGTATGTACAAGTCCCTCCTGCTCTCCTCTACAATTTACTGAGTGAACAAAACAGCTTCTTGGTAGATGGAATTTAATGCATTTACATGGCAAGGCCTCATCATAGAACTAAAACAGAGCCTTCTGTGGTCAAAACAAACCTTTAGAAAAGCTGTGCACACCTGTCAGAATAGTGACAGCTTGGCAGAGACACTGCAGAGAATAGGGTTCCCAGGGTCTCAGAGGGGTGAAATGCTGAAGATAGCTGGCTTAGAGAGTTAAGAGGAAGACATTGGGAGCTACTTTTTGAACACAGCTGTGGATTGAAACCAAATCCCCTGCAACGGGGAAGCTGGAAATTTGCAGAGATCTTTTTAAAGCATCACTTACCAGCTTTGCTCTCATAACTTAGCAAGCAACATGCCTTGAAAATGAACCAAGTTCTGGGTGCTGGGGCTTTTTTTATTTTTTGGTTTTCATCCTATCTTTCAACAGTTTCCAAAGCCAGGGGATATTCAGGACCTCCTCACCCCGTTTGCCACTCCACACCAGGGCAAACATGGTGAGCTCCAGCCAGCTGCTCACTGTGCATCCTTCAGCACTGACAGACCTCTGTATATGTGGTGTAAACACACTGACTGCTAATGCTCTGTGGATAAACAGCATGGCATTGTTTGGCTGTTATGTTATAACTGCAGTGGGATTTTGGAAACCCTTTTGGATATTTCAGGGCAGTATGGCAACAGGGAAGCACACAAATAGGGAGGTCTGCACTCTGCAGACCTTAACGTCGGCAAAGTGAGCTCATCTCTTTCCTATCCTCAGCACAGGTAATTATGCCCTCCCACTGCTTTAAACAAAAATACATTCTTCTCTTTCAAACAGTCACATTTTGATAACTCTTTTCTGCCCACCTTAGCTCATATCAATCAGGCTTTACGTAACAGTGGTATTTTGAGAAGTGACACCTACTCTGCAGAACAGCTATTAGCAAAGGCCAACCTAGAAAGGACAAACATGAAACGTTATATTCTGCCTATGGACAGTGTTTTCACAAAAAAACAACCAGAAGGAAAAGCTGGCCTGGAGGGAGAATTTGACACAGAGGGATCCTTAATAGTAAATAGGATTTCTTTTCTTGGAGCAATTCCTGGCCTTAATAATGTTTTCACTTTCAGCGTACTACAGAAGAGGGCAGTATAAACTAAGTGTTTTGCATATAGTAATAAAGCTTCTGTGGTCTCATTAGCAGCACTGAAATTTAAATTGATGTTTCCTTAATACCTTAAGGAATGATTTGTTCAAGAGCAAAGCTACTATATTAAATCTCCAGTTCATTTTCCAGAGGATTTTCTATCCTGACTCTTACAAAACAGAGCTAGAAGTCTCCTTTTGGTTTGCCTGTTCTGTAAATCCAGCATACGGTCTGCATGCAAAATGTAGACCTCATAAATGCTAAACAAGCAAAGCAGGTTCAGTAGTGAATAAGGTAGGAAATTGCAGCACAGAGCTTTTACTGACTCCTGGAGGGATAGGAAGCCTGAATCAGAAGAACAGCCTGTGCCTCCAGGGTTCTGCTTCTACCAGTTTTCATTTTCATCCATTTGTAAGGGTGCATGGAGCAGCTGAAGGACTCCTGATGAAAGAGCCTTAGACGGTGCTTTCAGCCTTTAAAAGTGCCTCTGTAAGTTACTGTTCTAGCATACATTTGACAGGACAGCATGGACAGGGAGCTTTAACAAGACTAAGTCCTACACTTCAGTCACAACAAGCCCATGCATTGCAACAAGGCTTGAGGCAGAGTGGCTGGCAAAGCTGAGCAGAAAAAAATGATCTAGGAGTGTTGACAGCTGGCTGAATGTGAGCCAGCACTGTGCCCATGGGTCCAAGAAGGCCAATGGCATCCTAGCTTGCATCAGAAATGGTGTAGTCAGCAGAAGCAGGGAGGTGATTGTCCATCTGTACTCAGCTCTGGTGAGGCTTTACCTTGAGTACTATATTCAGTTTTGGTTCCCTCACTACAAGAAGGACACTGAGGTCCTGAAGTGTGTCCAGAGAAGGTCAATGAAACTGAAATGTCTGGAGAACTACACTTATGAGGAATTGCTGAGGGAACTGAGATTGTTCAGTCTGGAGAAGAGAAGGCTTAGGGGAGACCTTTAACACTCCCTACAACTCCTTGAAAGGAGGTTGTAGCAACATGGTGGTCAGCCTCTTCTCTCACATAACTAGTGATGGGACGAGAGGGAATGGCCTAAAAAACAAGTTTCTTCTCAGAAGAGTGTTGATGTATTGAAACAGGCTGCCCAGGGAGGTGGTGGAGTGTCATCATCCCTGAAGGTTTTCATGGAAAGGGTAAATGTTGCACTGAGTGGTTGGTAGTTGGACTAAATGATCTTAGTGGTCCTTTCTGACCTTAATGAGTCTGATTCAGTGAAGGTGTCAGTCTAGTTTTCTGTTTAAAAATATAAGCATATATGATCATGTCTGCTTGGGTTGACCTCACCAGCACACAGCTGTAACACTGTCCTGTTTTAACACGATTTACCACTGCAGCAGCAGCATCACCACTTCACGAGCTGGAGACAGCAAGTGAAAGAAAGAGGCAATATTCTTAATCAACCTAACTGATACTATGAGGAAAATATGCAAGCTCTCAGTCTTTTCCTCAGGCCTTCAAGGAGTTAAGTTTTCATATTATTTTGTGTGTCTTCCTCTCCATAGCACTCTTTCCCTTACATAACAGTTCTGCTCCCCTTACATAATAGTAACTTTCTAAAAAATCTTTCATTGCTGATTTTTTTTTTTTTTAATGGTTTGAATCTCTCCAAAGAGAGATTTCTGTGTGAACTATGACAGGAAACATCAGACAGCTTGTGGAGGTTGTGTGTGCAAAAGGAAAGAAAAAGTTTCCTCTGAAAGCTGGAAGGAAGGGGATGAAATTACTATATATAACATCACAGGCTGAAAGTTGTAATTTGACATTTAAAGTGTACCCAGGAAGAAACTTGGATGAAATCAAGTTTGAAAATCTAACAGGAAACCACAGGGTCTGTAGGTGGGTACAATCTAATTGAGAATTTCATAGATGCGTTTAGCAGGGATAGTGCTCTAATAAAAACATCTATAAAAATAATTTTCTGTGAAAATCTTTAGGATTCAACAGCAGGAGAAGGGGAAATAAAGAGAGGCAGAGAAACGGGGAGAGAATCTGACTAAAGTAACATCTGCTGAAAATTGCATGTTTTACAATCTTGTGTAGGAGGACTCTAAACATTTAATGATGCAAACGTCAGACTCATATTTCAAGTGCCCCAAAGCATGAAATGTTCAGATGAAGAGATGGAGTTTCTGCCCATCTGTAGCAGAATCACACTGCTATTTATAGACTTGCTTTTCTTAAGTAACTAAAATGGTTTCTTCTCACCAACAGGCAAACCTATAACTGAATGTAACCGAGTCATCTGAATACACTGCAGCAGTCCTCACATTAAGAGGAAGCCTAAATCCTACCTTTTCACCTATGAGAGCACCTAGGTAGGCAGATAGTGTCCGAGTGCTGCCCTTTGGAAAACATTGCAACTCCTATAAAAAAGGCAATTTTGTAATTCTTGGAGATTTTCTGACAGTTTCCTCTGAAATTTTCCACAGCTCTGCCAAGCTTCTCCTCCTCCACTTGCAGATTCTGCTTGCTTGACAAGGAGGATCACGACAGGATTTGCTGGGGAGAGCCACAGAGAAGTCTGTTTTTAACCTACCCACACAGTTAACCTGAACGCGCCCCAGAAAACACACTATTTAAGTGCATTATGTGCATTTACTTTGTCAGCTGCTTTTCATGGGTGTCACTTGAGCAGTCACTGTATGAGCATTCTCCAGTTGATTTAGGTTTGCTGTGTGTGAAATCCCTATCAAATAGAAACAAAGTCTGTATGGAAGTGTGACCATCAGCCAAGACGATAGAAAAAACATCCACCTGACACTGCAATGAATAGAATACAGAGAGATTGTGGTTGTCCAGAATAGCTGAAATTGTGTATTAGTTTTGATTTTTGTGTGTGTGTGTGTGTGTGTGTGTGTCATGTCATGCCATGCACTTTTTCAGGAAGAAGAGCTGCATTATGATTGTTACCCTTGTCATTCCAGGAACCTCTTCAGGGCACCGATGGATGAGTTGGACATTGGCGTTAAACTGAGATTAAAGCTCTGAGGAGTTAGAAAGTGTTGGATAAAAATGAACAAGGAACACAAAGGACAAATCTCTGCCACTTTATGCTTTCTACGTGTGACACAGACTGTCACTAGGAGGCTGTTGTGCCACAGACAACATGACTGCTCTCATTTTCCCATCACTTAATCTCACAGCTTACATCTCCTCGGGCCTTGGAACTGTGCCTGTGCCTTTGCTAGTCTCAGTGAGACCTGGAAACATGCCTTATTCAGACAAGACAGAAAACGCCTAATGCTAGAAGTATCTGGTAGCGTCTCTGAGTTTAGGCAGCTGCTGTTCTCTGCAGGGGGGACTGCAGAGGGGACTCGGCTCTTGCTGCCAGGGTCTCATATCAATGTGGAAAGTCAGTTTTCCAGGGTAGGTCCCCGTGCCATGTATGGTTTCCACAGTGTTACTGGACAGTCGTGAGTGCAGCAAACTGCTTGTTTGCCATCATTGCTTCCCTGTTCGTGCTGTGCAGAGCAGTAAAGCACGTGGGTACATCTTAGGCTTCTTCTGCATGGTGCAGCAAGAGGGAAAAATTTCTCAGAGTCCTGCCAGACCTTGGCTTCAGTTATGTCAACTGGAGAAGCATTGGTCAATATTTTCCCAAGATAAATGCACATTGTACGTGTATGCTATTAATTTGAATGAATGTAAACATAAATGCCTGAATTTCTTCAAGAAGAACTTGCAGAGATTGACCCAGCCCTTCTGGAAAATGTAGTAGACGTCCCATTCCTCTCACCTGGATTTGAGAGAGATTTAAGATTGTGATCTACTAATCTTAAAGGGGACTTCCTTCTAACCAGTGAACCAAACATTACACCATGATTTGTTCAGTTGCAGCTAATCACTGGATCCATTTGTGAATCATAAGGCTCCTCCTTGATAACTCGAAGATCAAAGTTCCATGGCATGCACACATACTAAAAAAATTGTCCAGACCTTAAGGTACTTAAAAATCTCAGTGGACAGGAAGAGATAACTGACTGGCCATGTGCAATGCTGCTGGAAAAGGTAGCATAGGCATGGTGTCCAAGTTTGCACCAGGGAGGTGGGGAAGGAGCATGTGGGTGGCAACAGGTGGATGTTCAGCACATGCACACCACGTGTTATGCAAACTTGGGAAAAGAGCAATTTTCTTATAGGTAATGCAAGTGCAAGAAGTGCTCCTAAATATGTTTCCCGAATTATACACTATGAGTGGCTCATGCTGGTTCATTAGCAGCGACCCGTGGGGCTGCAGAGATGTGGGCCTCTGCTGCTTAGTATTTCAGACTTGATGATTAGTTCTAAGCAAAGCACAAGCTGAAGAAGGTATTCGTAGCAGCAATCGGCTTCTGAGGCACGCACTCCTCGTGAAATGAGATAGCGCTCACTAGAGGGCACCAACACCTCAGCTTAGCTCCAAGACTGCTGCGACCATCCAAAGGAACGGTTTGCAGATGATTCCCCTGCTCACAGCTAGGAATTAGCATATAAGGAAATAAAAATGTTAGATAATAACAGTAAGGAAAGTTTTTCATGTGAAAAGAAAAAGATTTAGGCTATCAATGAGGTTTCAAACTTTTTGTTCAAGAAGAAAACTTTCCTAACGTGCAAACTTTCAACACTGACAAAATAAATTGAATTGTGTGAAAGTCACTTTCAAAAGAAACACGAAAACAGAAAAGAGTAAAATTATGCAGTTAGGTATATGCAGCCTGATGCATCACAAGAAGTGAGATAATTACTGAAGAGGGAGGTGATATGGGACAAACAGTATGGCTTCACCAAGGTCCTGCCTGACCAATTTTCTTGCTTTTTATGATGGCATAATTGTGTCAGTGGACAAGAAATGATGTCATCTATCTGAACTTCAGGTCTTGATGTAGTGCCTCAGAACATCCTTCTCTAAAAAAGATATGAGAGAAAGATATGGAAAGATACGGATTTGATGTGTGGCCCGTTTGACAGACAAAGAACAGGTTGTGCAATATTGCACCCAGGGAGTGGTGGTCAGTGTCTGGATGGAGATCAGTGATGAGTGGTGTTCCTTCAGGCTCTATACTGAGACCAATGCTCTTTAACATCTTCATCAATGGCACTGACAGTGGGATCGAGTGCACTCTTGCTAAGTTTGTGGATAACACCAAGCTGTGTGGTGTGGTCAATTCCTGAAGGATGGGATGCCATCCAGAGAGACCTAGACAGGCTTCAGCAGTTGGCCCAGGTGAGGTTCAACAAATCCAAGCCTGGGGTCTTGTACCTCAGTTGTGGCAACCCCTACTATCAATACAAGCTGGAGGATGTAAGGATGCAAAACCCTTCTGAAAAGAACTTGGGGATACTGGTGGATGGCAAGCTGGAAATGAGCCAGTTATGTGCCCTTGCAGCCCAGAAAACCAACCATATCCTGGGCTGCATCAAAAGAAGTGTGCCAGAAGGTCAAGGGAGGTGATCCTGCCCCTCTGCTCCGCACTGGTAAGGCCTCACTTGAAGTAATGTGTCCAGATGTCCTCAGTACTGGAGAGACGTGGACCTGCTGGAGTGTGGCCAGAGGAGAGCCATCAAAATGAGGCAAGGGATAGAACACCTCCCCTCTGAGGACAGGCTGAGAGAGCTGGGGCTGTTTATCCTGGAGAAGAAAAGGTTTGGGGATATCTGAAAGCAGCATTTCAGTATTTGAAGGGGAACTGTAAGAAGGGAGGGGGTGAACTCTTTAGCGGATCTGTTATGATAGGACAAGTGGAAATGATTTTAAACTGGAAGAGGGGAGATTTAGATTGGATATAAGGAAGATTTTTACAGTGAGGGTGGTGAGTCACTAGAACAGGTTACCCAGAGAAACCCCATTGCTGGAGATATTAAAGGCCAGTCTGGACGGGGCTCTGAGCTACCTGATGTAGCTATGGGTATCCCCATTCATTGCAGGGGAGTTGGACTAGATGATCTTCCAAGGGTCCTTTCCAACTCAAGATTCTATGATTCTATGAAATTATTAGTTAAATGTATACCCGTGTTTTTCAATACACTTTGCATGGAAGCAACAGCCTGAACCTGGAAGGATACTGCAGGTGTTTCACACCCTGGCAAAACTGACCTACCTTACTATCTAGAAAAAAGCTGGTTTCACTTTTTCCAAGAGTGGCAGGCAGGCCCATCCCACCCTTCCATCCCCTTTAGCTCTGCTGTTCTCCACAACAGCCCAACCCAGTCAGCTCAGGACAAACTGCTGGTGCAGCCTCCCAGCAAACTTCCAGCTCTAACCTAAAGCACTGGGGTGCTCAAAATTGAGAGCCTAAAGACAGGCTCTCCTGAATGCAAGAAGATAGCAAGGCTGTTTAATCACCCAAAACCATGCAGCCTTAGCTTTGCTTCCTCAAGGATGTAAACATTTCTTTCTAGCAAGGCTTTGCAGTAACAGTCTTTCTCCTGGATTGCAGCTTCCTAAAGCATTCATGGGAAAGTTGATCATTGTATGATCTGACTGAAGGGGCTGTTGGCTCTAAGGGACCAAACAATGTGATGCTTAAAGCACTGGCTGGCACACAGGATACCAGCTCTGTACAGGGTTAGAACTTGAATCTGGATCTGGGCAGAGCATATCTGAATACCCTTTGCACTGCTTTGTCCTCATTTGGTTTAAAAAGTATCTCTGAGAGCAAAGAATTGGTCTATTGTATCTTGACAATAAAAAGATTGGAAAGCAGGACGAGGTATATTAAAAGTGTGAGAAAAAAAGACCATTGAGGGTACACATGAAAGCAGTTTTCCCACAGGTAGAATAAGGCAGCACTGTGCTTGTTCTGCAAGTCTTGGCAGGGCTGAGTGTGAGATTTGCTCAAAGCAGACCTGTATCATCAGAGACAGGTGGCTGTGAGTAAAAATCCAACTTCCCCGACTGAAACCCAATCATTAAAAAAAAAGTAGATGCTTATAAGGTTATTTGGCATTTTATGAGTACTAAGAGTTGACCATATTCCGCTAGAAGAGCATCCTGGTGCCCAACTCCCTGCATATTTAATATGTCAGGGGGACCCATCTCCAAAGCAGGCAAAGTAGTGGAAGGGAAGGGACAATACCACCAGGTGAGCTCTCAGCTTCTCACGATACTTGTGTTCATCTTCTCAAAACTATTTCCTGACCTAAAGTGTGGTTTCAGAGGGGGTTATTCATCTCACAAGTGCTGCTGAGTAGAACACTTTCTGGTACTGGTTGATACACTTCAGGGAGGAGATGGGCAAGGTGAGCTGGGCTCAGAGCTGAGCAAAAGCAATGACAAAAGGCTGGGAAATGCAACCTGTGAGGACAAACAAGGAGTCATGTGTTAAATCTTGATTAACATATGCTGAGAAGGATTGACAATACGTCCAGTAAACCTGCTGTGAAATATGTGGAAAAATACCTTGTTTCAAAGGGGTGCAGATGATCTCCTGAGACCCTCTTACAGGGTGACTTTGTATGATTCTCTGAAATCTTGGGTTTAGAAATCTGTCCAGAATTACAGTGAAAGGGGAAAAAAAAAATAATCCGATAGTTTTATCTATCTTTTATCATCCAAGAAACCTGAAGCAAGGACTTCATCAGAAGAAGGCCATTAAATGACTCTGAGGTACAGCAGTTTTCCCTTCAGGTGGAAAATGTCTCAATAAAAATCCCCACAACAAGAAACAAACACCATAAAATCCAGAAATATGTTGTGTTTTACCTGAGTTCTAGTAATTTATAAATGAATTGCCAGCATGGGACCTGAGCAAATGTTCCAAGGCAAGACAGACCAAAGGATAAGGCAAGAATAATCACCAGGCTGTTCTTTAGCTTGCCTTTTTGCCTTTAAAAGGTGTCAGCAAAGCCAACCCTGAGTATCAACACATATACAGGCTCACAAATGGGTTGGTTGACAAGAATTTCTCTGTTTATAACAACCCTATCACAATGATAGCTGCATCATGCTGGGATGACAAAAAGACAATTTGCTAGTAAACTTTAGGAAGAGGGGAAAACATTTCACTGCAAATGAGAAAGGGAAGAGACCAATTAACAGAATTATACTTCAGTGAGAGAAGAAAGACCGTAAAGAGGACAACAGTTCCCCTTTTGGCACAGTGGTGACAAGAAAACTTGAGAAGCAGTGCCTGGAAGGAAGGAAAACAGCAGCAAGTCCAAGGAAATGGGCACACCATGGGTACACAATGCACAAGAACCAAGTTGCACCCTTTCTGTGTATGCCTGTTTGTTTTTATTGTGCAGACTAGTTTTTGCTTTGCTCAATAATTCTCTGTGCTGACCTTCTAAGGACAGACACGTTAGGGAATTTCAGATGGTGCTGTAATGTCTTGGCCATTGAAAACTCTTCCTTATTATGTCGGAAATGTTCTGTTGATGCTTTCTTTAGCAACTTTACTGGCTCTGTTGCAAACTGTTATTTAATTTATATTCAGTTTATGAGCTGGCTGGCAGGAACATGTAGCAATTTTAGGGGGAGAAGGATTTTTTTTTAATAGTTACTGGTTTTGGTAACTAA